CCTTCTTTACTATGGGATTTGGTGCATTACATAAGTCACGACAAAATAGCAGCGATTAGTTAAATAAAAACAGTCAGACGGTTTCCATGAAGTGATGAATCAGGCTACTTTTAAGTACCCTACATATAAAAATAAGCACATATTCTTTATTTTAATTAATTTGAATTTGAATCGGTTCTTTACGTTATATTTTACGTTTTTAATAAGCATGAGTGTTAGCTTTAAAACACAGTGACGCCGTATATGGTTTCTCTTCACACAGCATGAACATCAGCACACACGCTTGCAAAAATAGGCTAATTCTAACATTATTAACAGGATCATAATGCTTAGAATTTAATTATAAGTGCTTGTATTGCCAATAACAATTATGTAGGCAGGAAATACACGGAAATCTTGAAATACCTCCACCCACTCCCACTTATCTATGCGAGTGTGTACCGGCCTATAAGGGAGCCAGCTGCAGCCTATTCAAATGAAAGACACTCAATAAGGAGCTATAGGGGGATATAATGCAGTTATAATATAAAGTAATGGGGTGGATTTACGGCCGTAGAAAATGCCCCGTCAGCAGAGAGGTTCAGTCCTGTGTTCTCCATGCTAAGCAGTTTATGAGCGTTCACATATATGCACAAGAGTCTGTTATATGGACGGTATTACGGGTAGGAAAAAACATGGCTTAAATAAGACAAAACAGAAGCTCACACCTCTATCATCATCACTGTTGGGCAAGTTGCTTCAAAACTGTCATGTGTTATTTATGACTTGTTACTGTCATTTCAAAGTAATTAGTTACATTACAATATTACTGCATTTAAAATCTAAGGCGTCACATTACGACTGCATTACTTTTAAGTTGCTCTCACTCTAACTGTGAAGATGCTGAACTTTTGCGCCGTGTATGGACTGAACCAGGACTAAACCAGGTCTAAACCAGGTCTAAACCAGGACTAAACCAGGACTAAACCAGGTCTAAACCAGGTCTAAACCAGGACTAAACCAGGTCTAAACAAGGACTAAACCAGGACTAAACCAGGTCTAAACCAGGACTAAACTAGGTCTAAACCAGGACTAAACCAGGTCTAAACCAGGACTAAACCAGGTCTAAACCAGGACTAAACCAGGTCTAAACAAGGACTAAACCAGGACTAAACTATGAATAAACTAGTTCTAAACCAGGACTAAACTAGGACTAAACCAGGTCTAAACCAGGACTAAACCAGGTCTAAACAAGGACTAAACCAGGACTAAACTATGAATAAACTAGTTCTAAACCAGGACTAAACTAGGACTAAACCAGGTCTAAACCAGGTCTAAACTAGGTCTAAACCAGGACTAAACTAGGACTAAACCAGAGCTGAACCAGGACTGAACCAGGTCAGAGAGGAGTTCTGTGCTGGTCCTTTAGCTCACGGTCACCCGACAAGTCTACGCAGGTGCGTCTCCGGCGTTTCACCGCTGCTGATATCGCGGTGATTTTAGCGAATTTGTATGAAGAAAAACCCACCACTTTAATCCAGGTTAAAAAAGCATTATAATGCATGTTACTGACATTTGTACCAAGTAAAATATAATATTTTTTTTCCCTGTAATGCCTTACATTACTGTGTTACAGCAAAAAGCAATGCATTACAGTAATTTGTTACTTTTATAACGCGATACTCCAACACTGATCATCATCTATATATTATATTGTCTTTGTTCTGCATTGTTATTTGTCTGTTAGATATAAAACATCTCCAGTTACTTTTTCCAAACGCTATATAAAATGATTAAGCAACATTCTTTCTAACAAGAGTTGATTAAAGGTGCACCGTGTAACCTTTCCGGTGAAGGGTTTGTCTGCCTGGAGATTGTCCTGCGTTAAAGGGCACATTTTACACTGTTTTCTGATCTATGTTATATTAATGTTGCTTTCTCTCATGCTTCTTCTCATTCATGGTTGGAGGGGCCGATGGCGCAGATTGGCAGCCTCGCTTCTGTCAGTCTGCCCCAGGGCAGCTGTGACTACAGTAGTAGCTTATCACCACTGGGTATGGAGTGAATGAATAATGCTCTGTAAAGCATCTTTGAGTGTCCAAAAAAGCGCTGTATAAAACTGATGCATTATTAACAACAGCTTTGGAGATACTAATAATAGACTAATAATACTGGGTTGCTCAAACAAGTGTGAATGAAACAAAACACAACTCCAGGTGAGTGCCTTCTGACTTAAAGCTCACAAGAGTCAATTTTGTGCAATATAGGACCTTTAAGTGTATCTGTCTCCATGGAGACAAAGTAGGTGACGCCACTAGGCCAAGTTACAGGTCAGGGGCCTCATTTATAAAAACTGCGCAGGAGTTGTCGTAAGTTAGTGCGTACGCCTAGTAGCTACGACAAGGCGTGCGCCACGCAAACTCCATATTTAGAAAACCCACCGCACGCACCAAACCACGCAATCTTTGCTTTATAAATCCCACCTGCAACTACAATTTGCGCACGTAAACCCACGTCACGTCACGCCCTCTCCACACCTCCACCTCACCATAAAAGGAGCATGTAAAGTGACTGGTGAATGAGATTTCCCTAAACATGAGCCGATAATCAGTGGGTTTGACCGAGGAGGACGCTCCACGCAGCACCACGTGATCACGACAAAGACTTTATTAAAGACTTTATTAAACCTTGTTTAATAAATAAATACAAAACTAAAAGTGACAACAATGACTCATCTGTTCATTTAATCATATTTCATAATATTTAGGCAGCACATCTTTGCAGTAAAGCCCATGTGTTTTTTCACTGTTTCAAGAGTTTTATCGCTATATTTTTAAGTCTGTCTATGAAGTGTGTGAGGACTGGCCCTGTATTTATGCATATACACGTAGATACGTGCACGCGCTGATCTGAATGGTCAAATTATGAGCGCGTGCGAGAGATTCAGATGCCCTCCCCTGGAGAGGGAAAGGAGCGAGGGAGGGACACGAGGATACGAGGACACAGATTTAGCATGAAACACTTCAGATACAGATGTTATTCTGCCAATTAAAATCCACACGAAACATCCAAACTGCTCACCTTTGAGCGTGGGTCTGGGTCGGGACGGGCACGGGCATTATTCTGTTCTTCATACAGTCAGAGAGCAGCTCTCATGTACAAGAGTTCCCCATTACACAAAAATGTAGGGAAGATTTTGGTTCGGGTCAGGTTCGGGCAGTGGGCTTCCTGTTGTCCGCTGACTCGGGTCACTCTGGCGCTCGGTGCGTAAAGACTAAAGTAAAAGTGTTAAAGTTGCGTTCATTAAATCAAAGCCTGGCTCCTGCTGCGTCCAGTGGAAGAGTTTTCTCTCAGGTTGGGTCATTATTTCGTCCTCTGTGTTGGTCACAGACTGTGTTCTATAGAAGTCTATGGTCGCGGTGTGGACTGTGGGACTCTGCGCTACACCGAGTCCGGGAACGTGGCCGCGCTCGTGCACGAGTGTCAAATGTATAATATTGTGGAGAATAATGAGTGGAATAAACAGCCCTTCTCCGTATTTTGGCGAACCAAACACTTAAATGCGCAAATCAGAAGGTAATTCTTCTATATATGTGGATTTTCTGATCAAACACTTCCTCAAACTCTGTTCACTTCTGCTTCTCTCCACGAGTGTCGCTTTTCCCCCGTGTCTCCAGACTTTGCGTAGAACTTACAGGAGGTCCCGAGTTAGCGTAGAGTTAAGCAAAGAGCCACGCCTTAGTCCAGTTTTATAAATACGACGGTTGGCGTAGGAAGCGCGCACGCACAGATTTTTGCGTAAGCAAGATTTATAAATGAGGCCCCAGATCTGTGGAGAATGCATGTTTTTCAAGTTATATGTTAGGGTGTCTGTGTACTCCCTCAGTCTTCTAAGTTCTATAGAAAAAAAAATCTAAGTCTGTCAACTAGACAAAAGTTTTCGAGTGAAGACGTCTCAGGCTCATCCAAGAGGCTTCTTCACTTCTGACTGGAGACTGGTGAGTCACTGCCTTATATCTGTCTCAACTCTTCAAAACTCCACTCCAAAACTTTTGTCCAGTTGGCAGATTTAAGATGTACTTTTTTATTTTTATTTTGTAGGAAAAGAAATGCCTGAAAAAGAACAAAGGAACATTTCACGCAAAATAATAACATCTCCACGGAGAGAGCTGATGAACCCCACCCAAAATATTAAAATAATCCACCTTTAAAACAAAATGTTATTTCATACATAATAATATCACTACTGCACTAACATCCCACAGACACACAGAAGAGAGGCCTCCAGTCTGTGGCATTGGCCCTAACAAGATGGGTGAAGTGTCTTGCCAGAGGACACAACAACAGACAACCAGTGACCTTCAGTTTGGTGAGTGAACACTTATTTTGCTTACTAAAAACAAGTAGAAGCTTTAATCATAGTGTCTAAAGTGCAGCTCAGTTGAGTGTCCTCACATGTTCCTCCTCAGATCAGAGGATTTCTTGGACTTTGACTCCAGTGTTTAGCCTCAGAGTCGCCATATTTGGGATGTTTAAGCATTGATCCTGATGGGATCAGAAATGGTGCAGAAGCACAGAGAGCGTGCCGTGGCACTGTGTGAGAATCTAAAGTGGGGCTAAGTTATTCAGAGCACATCTCACACACAGCTGTGCTAATGCATTTGCATACACCACCTAAACACAAGGAGTTTAATGTGGAAAACCTTTGCCAAAATAACTGCAGTTTGCACATCAGTGGGAGTAGCAATTGTTTAAGGACTCAAATAGAGAGAGGACTTCAGACTGAACCACTGATTTAGACTGAAACATTCAGAAAAAATACAAAACTGATTTGGCTTATGCTAGCTAGTGTGAGAGGAGTCAGCCTGATGTTATAAAAGGTAAAGGTAGACACACATCACTGGGGCAATGCTACTACAGTGAACATAGAAAGTGAGACAAAGCCAGAGAACACAGCCATGACCTGACGATGATCTACTGATCAAAAAGAGTAGTAGCCAAGTGTATTCAAAAGTACTGACCGTTGAGCCATTTGGAGTTGTACTGAGCCGTTCTCAGGGGGGGCAGATGTCCCAGACTGCGGTAGATCACAGGGTCCCTCCCAGAGAAGTCGATGACGGTCGCAGCGTACAGCTCCCCAGACTCAGTCACTACGGCCGTGGAGTTGTGGCGAGGATCATACGGACAGCGAGCGACGCCGTTCACACGCTCCACCACGCGGCTCATGTTACCCACCTGCAGGGGGCGGTACAGGAGGAAACTTACTTACTTATGTTACAGTACTGCAGGGGTTGAAGAAGTACTCAGTTTTGCTGCTTATGTAAAAGCATAGATACTGGAGCAAAAAAATTCACAAGTAAAAGTACAAGTATCATGTGAAAAAAATCTACTTAAGAACAAGTATTAAAGTACATGTTTAAAATATACTTGGAGCAAAAAATAAAAGGATTTTGAAATCTAATAAAATCTTTAAAGCAGAACTATAAAAAAAAAAATACTATTACATTTCAATCCTGTTCAGAAATGTAGCGGAGTAGAAAGCACAGATAACTGCTCTCAAATGTAGTAATGTAGTAAAAGTAAAAGTATCCACTCTAAAATTTACTCAATTGAAATACAGATACCTTAAAATGTTACTTAATTAAAACACTCTACTACTTTTACTTCATTACGTTCCACCACTGCAATAGTGTTCCCCCATCATTAGTTTCGCCATTAGCAATGTATTTTGATATTTTTTCTAGTATTTTTCTAGTGTTATGATCCTAAAATTTCAAACTCAATTTTGATACAAAGAAATAAGCTCTGTACTCGATCTGAAATCAAAAAAATTGGGAAAAACTTTAAAAATGTTAGTAAAAACTTCAACATGAGGATCTTAACTGTTTTTTAGTTTCCGAAAAAAGCGTGATATGTTTTCAGACTGACTGAGGCTGTATTAAAAAGTGAAATCCGCACCTCTCGTGTGGTGCAGAGCGGCTGGAATGCGTTGGTCCCACAGGTCATCACCTCCGTCTTATTCACCAACAAAACTCGGATGTAATTCTGACACTCCATCTGCAAAACAAAACAACAACACACACAAACTCACAATGTGCTTTCATTTGTATAGAGCGGCTCATTGCATTATTCATTCACTCCGAACAAGCTACTTATGTGAACTGACACAAGCAAGACTGCAAATACGCCTCTCAGACTCCACACAGACACACACACACACACACACAACACATTCACTAAGCCTGTCACACTAATTACTATATCGACTGATCATTCATTTATTGTGTGTACGTTTTCTTTGCAAAAGTAGGGAGATTTCAGGTCATATTTGAGCTGTAAAGGGTAGAATCATAGTCTGTATATATATAAATGGACATAGATAATCCGCTAGCCGCCACGTTTCAAATAGGAAGTGGGCATGGATGCGCTTCTCGGCTCCATCAGCTCTGGCTCCAATTCAGTTTGCATTGAAAAAACGTTGCCCTTTTTCTGTGACCGCTGCTGTCACGCTCCTCGTTTTGGTCTTAAAATGTTCGTATTAACACGCTCTATATGATCCTGTTTTTTTTTTTATTTTTCTGTTTGGACTTTAAATCACTTCCTATTCCTAATGTGAAACTCTGCTCTAAAGTTCCTCGACCTCGATGAGCTTCATTTGACTAGAGCCGAACGCTATAGCTGAAGTCACACTCCCACAATCCATTCTAAAGTTTCTCTTTCTACAGTCTAAATAACTCCTAAAGGATAATTAATGGTTCATTCTGCCATTTATTTGTTGCAGTTCAGGCCTTTTAATGGTAGCCTGATTCATCAGCCGGTTTCACTTCATGGAAACCATATGACCTTGCAGCATTAGGATTCGCTCAGCGGAAGGTGGGTACTTTTTTATTTAACCAATCGCAATTGGTTAAGGGCAATAACGTCTTTCCCCTTGATAAAATTCACCAAACATTCTCTTTGTTCCAGCTTTAAATCCTCGATCAGGAATCGCTGCCAACACAGAATGTCTGGCTTCGTCTACATCCATCTCGACCACTTTGTTTACTGTTGTGTTGTACCACAAAAGGGACCCAGACAGGCGCTGGAGTTTGACGTCATGGTTTCACAGCTTTTCACTTACTGGCCGGTGTGCGGTGTACAACTTCCGGGGTTCTTGCAAACCGTCTAGTGTATTCTGATTCCTGACCTAGTCGCTGGAGAGAAATGAACCTGAGTGGAGGCACTAGGTGGCACCAACCTGGCTATTTTAATGGTACTGTATATTTAAAAATACATGTACTGGATTATGCTTAAAGTAGTTTCAATATTATTATTTATCGTAATATTTCTCTATAGCAATATAATGTGTTTCAAAATGTGTTAATGTGACAGGCCTAATTCATAGTAAGACTGGGTTTTTTATTAAAGTGTCTTGCTCATGGACACCATGACACAACAGCTGCACTGGTTGGAGCTCACTTCATACAGGTGGGCAAACGCTTTAACCACTGGACTGTGTAACTTCTCTGGTAGACCTGCTTGTGTCCATGGAGATGTTATTGCTTTGCCTGGTATGTTTCACAGTATGGCATTAAATAGACTTGTTTCACAATGGCCAGAATTGCCCCAATGAAGGTTTGTGGGACTTCCAGGTAATGGTTTTCTATGGCGAAATATCTGTGGAAATGTCTTGTGTATTTCCCACCAGCTTCATAAATCTGCCCCATCACCAAATCTTCATCCAACAAGATCGACAAAGACATATTTTGTCCATGAAGAATTTATCCACAACTATCAAGGTAAGAAAGATGAAAACGTAAAAGCGAACAACGACGAGCATTAGTGAACTCCTCCTGAGAAAAAAATAATATTATGGTCATGAATAAAACATAAGTAATAAGTAATTAATTAATAAGTAATTTGTGAACTCAGACTGATTCTAGAATTAAAATTTGATTTCATGATGTATTTATTGGCATAGATAGACACATTTGTGCAGTTCAAATGCTACAGTCTCGCTTTTAAACCCTACAAATCTCTGTGTCTATGCTAATATCTACATCATGAAACCATTTTTAAATTTTTATTGTAGAATCAGTCTGAGTTAACGCATTACTTATGTTTTATTCATGACCATAAGGTTAGTTTTGCATTTTTCACCTTTATGTTTTCGTCTTTCTTACCTTGATAGTTTGATGATGGGGGCAGATTTATGAAGCTGGTGGAAAATACACTAGACATTTCCACAGATATTTTGCCATAGAAAAGCATTGACATAAGTGACATTTACCCTACATCACATCACTTCTGAGCATTGTGAAAAATGTCTATATAATCTTGTACTGTCTAAAAATATGTTAGAATGTTGTTACTGAATCAAAAACATACCTGGAGTTGTGTTTTGTTTCATTCACACATGTTTGAGTAAGTCTTTATTATTAGCCTATTATTAGTCATCTCCAGTGCTCAAAATGCTCTGTTCTACCTTGTGATGTCATGTAGTGGTAGTATTCACCTTTTACATTTAGTTCAGTAGAGATTGGCAGTTCCAGGGCTGAAATCATCCAAATGATTTTAGAGTAGGAGTATGGAGTTTGAAAACACTGTGAAGGATTTTCTGTGTTACTACTAGGGATGCAATGGTATTCGATATAATATTGAATCGTTTGATACTGGTCAGATGATTCGATACATGTGTTTGTTCGATACACATGTCAATTTGCACGTGTCCCTCCATGAGCTCTGTTGTTATTTATTTTGATCTGAACAAACAGTTATGGCAGTGTCCTCCTCAGAGCAAGCAAGAAAACAGCTTCACAGGAACTGAAATATTCTAACAGAGGTGGATTTTATCTTTTCAGTCACTTTTTATTTTATGTTGATAGACTCAGGAATGACAAAGATATTAACTTTTAAAGACTTTAGAACTGCTTATGGTTATACGTGGGCTTTAATCAAATGTGCTCATGTACCCATGATGCAATGCAATCTTTTTCTCAGACTCTATCTCATAAGTTTTACTCAGAAAATGGTCTGTTGACATTTCTATGTAATATAACATAGTTTTAGTGTCCAGAAAGAGGATGGGAGAGCGCTGTGAGTCACAGAGTGTCGCAGGGCAGTGTGGGAGGAGCTACGTACTGTCTCTGCTGGAGGAAGCAGGGCAGTGGACACAGTATGCGGTAATGAGTAATGAGCTCCTCCTGAGTATGTTTTTACTCAGGAGGAAAAGAAATCATGAAATTATCATCAAAGAGGGAAAAGTATGATAGTGTACCTCCCCTACCACTCTATATTAAGAGTAGGCTGGCTATATTATAAAATATAAATTAGCCTGAGAAGCTCTGTTCTTATTTTCACTGAATAAAAATGCTGAGCTGTAAATCATTGAACCAAATGAACTAAAACACTTCACATATAAACTATAACTTTACAGTAGTTGTGCTCTTATGTAATGTATCTATTGTTTCATTAACATCATTGTGTTATTATATTATGCTCATTAGCAGAAAAAATTACATGAGATTTTTTTTTGCGTCTTAAAACATATCGAAATCAATTTGATATCATGACCCATGTATCGAGATACATATTGAATTATGGGAAAACCATATCGCTGAATCCCTAGTCAGTGCTGGGAAGATGACTTTTAAAATGTATTACAGATTACATACTCCAAAATGTAGTTTGTAACGTAATCCATTAAATTACTTAAAGTGAGTAATGTAATCTGAATACTTTGGATTACTTGATTTGCTGTAGAGAAGCAAAGACTAGGATATCACATTTTGTCTGCTAAGACAATAAAAAGCCCAGACTTTACTTAACCAAATTAAAAATAGTATTGAAAGAAGAAGTTGAGTCTTGTTAAATCATGTTTGGGACATAGTTTAGATCTGGTTTTAGTCCTGGTTTAGTCCTAGGTTAGACCTAGTTTAGACCTAGTTTGGACCTGGGTTTAGTGTCTGGCAATGAGTGGAATTACCGAGAAAAAAAAAAAAAAGAAAAAAAAAAAAAAAAAAAAGGGATATAGTCCAAAATGTGAAAAATACCGCTGTGTAATCCATTTATTTCAACAAAGTAACTGTAATCCCATTACAACTCACTTAAACAGTAACTGTAACCGAATACAGTTACTCATAATTTGTACTCTGATTACGTAACTCTGGTACATGTAATCTGTTACTCCCCAACACTGTCCCTAGTTACTCATATGACATCACAAGGTGCAACAGAGTGTTTGAGTCTGTTTGAGAGAAGAACTCCGCCTAAATACACAGGGTTTCTGAAACTAAACACAACCCTGGGTGTATTTTTAATGCGGATTATAACACACATCAGAAAATAGTGTAATCCCTTTAAAGCCATACAGTCGAACATTCCAAAAAGCACTGAAGCAGTAACATCTCCACGGACACGAGCAGATGGTGTAAAAGTCCACCAGGAAAAGTTACACAGCGCATCTTTAAAGTAAACAAAGGAGCTCGCTAAATCCCCATATGGTTTGGCTAATAGCGGTTTTGAACGCTCCATAACCGTCGCGCAGTGAGTGAATGCCGCCCGGCGCTCGCATCGACTTCCACCGCGTTCTAAATCAAATGTAAAGTACAGGGAGACAGGCGCGGCGCTTTGAACAAAAGAAAAGAGATGGATTTATTGGTAATGAGGACTCTTATGTAAGGATCATTTTTTAACTGTGCTACTGCTTTGTATGGGGTATGGATGTGAGGGAGGAGAGGGGGAAGACGTGGGGAGAAGAAGAGGTGACAAGAGGTAAGAGAGAGATTGGAAAATGAGAAGAGAGAGGGGGGGGTAAGGTAGGAGGGAGAGAGGAGGAAGCTCAAGGGAACAAGAGAGGGTGGATGAGAGGAGGAAGAGTTTGCAAGAGAGAGCAAACAGGAGAAGGGGGCAAGGGGATAAGAGAGAACATTGAGACTAAGGAGAATAGGAGAAAGAGAGGAGGGGTGGGATGGGAGAGAGAGCACTGAGAGACAAAGATTGAGAGGAGGGAGAAAGAGGAGAGAGAATTGATTGCATGTTTTGTTGTTTGTCGATGGGGAGCTCACAGTGGGAGATAAAGTGAAAGGAGCAATCAGTGGTGCAGAGTTTGAGAGACACGACTTTACATCATTACAAAGTACTGCATTACGTTCATGACTAACACTATGCAACTGTACTATTAATACTTCAGTACTACTTTGGGCGTGAGGCGGTGATAATAGTAACGCTTTACAGTTGTATTGTGCTTTTTGATCTACTAAACGGAGCTTCCATCGTGGTGGCACTTCCAGTTAAAAGGCCCAGATTATGTTATTTTCTCGTCTATGTTGTAATGTTGGTTCCTCATCACAAACAGACGTGGGGGGTATTCCATTAAGCGAGCTAAAGTCAATCCGGGCTTGTCAAACCCTCAGTTCCATTCCACCAAAGTGACTAACTAGTTGCCGCAGTGACAAGCCTCCGGAAACCGACCTGATCGGGACCAGATGAACTGTCGAGATTACGAGGTGTGTCTCCGAGAACGTCTAAAGCTCACGCGGTAAGGCCAAGGCCACGTGTTGTGACTCTGTGCCGCTACTACAGCTCCCATAATGCATCTCGCCACTAGAGAGGCCAAGAAAACTCATCAAGTTTCCCCAAAAATGTCCAAGAAAAGAAAAATTTATGCAGAAAATGGACGGTTATTTCATGAATGTTACTGAAGGAGTAATGTGAATGTTTTAACTTAAACCTTTATATCAGACCAGGACTGAGACCGGGACTGAGACCGGGACTGAGACCGGGACTGAGACAGACCAAGACTGAGACCAAGACTGAGACTGAGACCAAGGGGACTGAGACCGGGACTGAGACTGAGACCAAGACTGAGACTGAGACCAAGACTGAGACCGGGACCAGACCAGGACTGAGACCAAGACTGAGACCAAGACTGAGACCGGGACTGAGACCGGGACTGAGACCAGACTGAGACCGGGACCAGACCAGGACTGAGACCAAGACTGAGACCGGAACCAGACCAGGACTGAGACCGGGACTGAGACCTGAGACCGGACTGAGACCGGGACCGACTGAGAGGACTGAGACCGGGACTGAGACCGGGACCAGACCGGACTGAGACCACTGAGACCGACTGAGGACTGAGACCGGGACTCAGACCAGGACTGAGACCAAGACTGAGACCAGAACTGACACCAGGACCAGACCAGGACTGAGTCCAGGACCAGATCAGGACTGAGTCCAGGACCAGATCAGGACTGGTCCCAGAATCATTATCTGTTATCCATCTTTTCATTTTGGTTTTGGAGACAAATAATGAAGAAAATAGCAGTTTTTTCCTTTTCTTATTTTTTGGTTTTATTTTGAAAGACGAATGAAAAAATTATACAGGGATTGGTTGCCTCTCCACAGATCTGACCTGTAACTTGGTCTGGGAATTTGGTCTCCACGGTGATAACAGGATTTGACACCATACTGAGAAACATTCAAGGCAAATAACAAGCAATAACATCTCCATGGAAAAAAGTATTTGATGGAACCTCCATCTACAAACTTGCTCTAACTGTGAAGCCTTTATTTGTTTCTTTTTTTTTTTTTCCAGAGAGGATCAGATATGAAAGTGTATGTAGGGCACAGTACCTCGGTTTTGCCTTTGCTCTGACAGGACCTGCGTGTCTCCTCATCTGGTGCCCACTCCGTTGCCTAGGAAACACAAAACAAGAGCAGAGCCAGAGGTGAGGGACAATGGGACAAAAGAGTTACGTAACAAGATACGAAAATAAGGTCTGGCTCGATGAAATGGTTTTCTTTATCAAAGCAGAATCAAATTGAGATTGGACTTTTCAGACAGTTGAAATACATCAGCGGTAATAAAAAACTCCCATCACCAAGAAAGGACCGTGTGTAGGTCATTATAAAATGCTTTTACATTGTTATAACGGCAGAAGACAAACTCAAACAAGGGAGGAAAATACGGAAAACTAAATGTGTCACTTGGTCATTAAAAGCACAATTCTGACCAGGAATAAACCAGGAATAAAGTAGGAATAAACCAGGAATAACCAGGTCTAAACCAACACTACATTGGCATTATAGGGGGACTAAAGCACTAAACCAGCACTAAATCAGGACAGGATTAAATAAGGATGAAACCAGGACTAAACAAGTACTAAACCAGGTCTAAACCAGGTCGAAACCAGGTCGAAACCAGGACTAAACCAGAACTAAACCAGGTCGAAACCAGGACTAAACAAGTACTAAACCAGGTCTAAACCAGGACTAAACCAGGACTAAACAAGTACTAAACCAGGTCTAAACCAGGACTAAACAAGTACTAAACCAGGTCTAAAACAGGACTAAACCAGGTCGAAACCAGGACTAAACTAGGACAGGATTAAATAAGGATGAAACCAGGACTAAACAAGTACTAAACCAGGTCTAAACCAGGAGTAAACCAGGACTAAACTAAACCAGGTCGAAACCAGGAGTAAACCAGGACAGGATTAAATAAGGATGAAACCAGGACTAAACAAGTACTAAACCAGGTCTAAACCAGGAGTAAACCAGGACTAAACCAGGTCGAAACCAGGACTAAACCAGGACTAAACCAGGACAGGATTAAATAAGGATGAAACCAGGACTAACCAAGTACTAAACCAGGTCTAAACCAGGACTAAACCAGGTCGAAACCAGGACTAAACCAGAACTAAACCAGGACTAAACCAGGTCTAAACCAGGTCTAAACCAGGAATAAACCAAGTTGAAATCAGGACTAAACCAGGTCTAAACCAGGAATAAACCAGGTCTAAACCAGGACTAAACAAGTACTAAACAAGTACTAAACCAGGACAGGATTAAACAAAGATTAAACCTGGACTAAACCAGAAATAGAACAGAACCAAACCAGGTCTACATCAAGACTAAACTGGACTAAAACAAAGACCAAACCAGGACAAGTCTGATTCATACAACATAACTACACTAATAGCCGTATTCTAATTATAACACAGGCAAAATTTGAATTAATTAACAACATGTTAAATTCATTCTTAAATACAAACAGAACAATGGCAAGATTAAATTCAAATCACATGGATGAAGTGAGAATTTTCCAGAATGAGTCTATTAGCGGTCCATTAAAGACATAACATAGGTGATATGGCAAAAAATGGATCAGATTTTTTCCCAGATGATTCACCAATTACAACTTTCAGTTTTATTTTTTCATATTAAAAACAAGTAAAGAATATAGTTCAGTCTTAATTTCAGAGTATTACCTGTAGACCTCTCCATTAAAAAGACACAAGCCGATCATTTAATTACGAAAACAAATTCACAGACGCAACTTAAGTATCAAAAATACAACATCACTTCACAGGCATTATTTACTGAGAAGAAGAAACATTGATCAAGATGCTGGACTTTTGTGCCGCACATGCCATGGACTGAACTAGGACTAACCCAGGACTAACCCAGAACTAACCTGGAACTAACCCAGAACTAACCTAGAACTAACCCAGGACTAACCCAGAACTAACCCAGGACTAAACTAGGACTAACCTAGGACTAACCACTAACCAGGACTAACCCAGAACTAACCTAGGAACTAACCTAGGACTAACCCAGGACTAACCCAGGACTAACCCGAACTAACCTAGGACTAACCTAGGACTAACCCCAGGACTAACCAGACTAACCGGACTAACCGGACTAACCCAGGACTAACTAAACTAGGACAGGACTAACCCAGGACTAACCAGGAACTAACCCAGAAACTAACCCAGGACTAACCCAGAACTAATCCAGGACTAACCCAGGACTAACCTAGGACTAACCCAGGACTAACTAGAACTAACCCAGGAACTAACCCAGACTAACCAGACTAACTAGAACTAACCCTAACTAGGACTAACCAGAACTAGGACTAACCCAGGACTAACCCTAGGAACTAACCAGACTAACCCAGGACTAACCAGAACTAACCAGAAACTAACCTAGAACTAACCCAGACTAACTAGGACTAATAACCAGGACTAACCCAGGACTAACCTAGAACTAACCCAGGACTAACCTAGAACTAACCCAGGACTAACCCAGGACTGAACCACGTGGACTAAACCAGGACTGAGCTAGGACTAAAACTGAACTAAACCAGAACTGAACCAGGACTCACTGTCAGAACGAGCCTGGAAGCGCTCCCGCATAGACCGCCGGGTGAAAGGACCGGCAAAGAGCTCCACGCCCCACGAAGGTAAGCGCAGCCATCTCCCGATCGCGCTTTGCGGACACTCTCCTCTACGGGCTCGGGGTTCTCTCTCTCTTAAGTCCAAGATTAGTCCTGGTGTAGTCCTGGTTTAATCCTGATTTAGTCCTGACCTGTCCGTATGTAATCACTTCCCGCCCGCATACCCGCCCGTAAAATTCCAGAACGTTAAAACCCGCCCGTTTCAGCAACTATTTTCCCGCGGGTACCCGACCTGGTGCAGGACTCTCCCCCAAGCCCCAAAATTTCTGTTGACGTACCCTGCTTGGAGAACTTATACATGACAACTACCCCATGAAATAAACAAACAAACTTTGTGGGTTACTACTTCCTGTTTCTAGATGCGATTTTGAGTAGTTTTACTGTTCAAAAGTTAAGATATTGTATCATTTTTGTTCATTTCTATAGTCATTTTGTGTAACTATCTAGCCTATAGCATTTTGTCAAGGCTACGGAGAGACTACCCCTCAGTGCCATCTTTTCTTATTAAACTTCCAAACGTCTTAATCCAAAATGTACAGGGAGAGGTTTTGGGGCTGGTTTGAAGTGGTTAACGGACCGGTATTATCCAGCGCGGAGGTTAGCCACTGTTTCTAATACCAAAACACACTCACATCAATGACCTGTAGCTCAGATTGTTTATAGTGTAAACAAGGAGAGCGCGCTGCCAACAGCTTATTCAAGTCCACGGCGCGGTCCAAACAAGTCCTGCTCAAGGGCCGGGGATTGGATTAGCATACATATGAGGGCGACAGCTGCACTCTCTGGTCTGTGCGCTTTGTGAGTCTTTTTCTCACTAAGTTTGAAGCGCAGTTCTTTTGGGTTGGCTTTGATCAAACGTTTGGGCGGCGTTTGATGCTGAACATGAGGCCAGAGACGAGGCAAAAAAGTGACTGGTAGATACTGTGTGCACTCAACGGACAGACTAGAGAGAATTAAACAAGGGCAAATGAAAGGGCAGATATAAAATAAGTTAGAGTGAATTAGAATGGTTTAACTGCCCAAGCCACCAACTTTTAAAGCAGATTTTCAAACTCAAAACTGGGACACCCTCAGTCTGGGGAGGTTGGTAATAACAAAATAGTGAAACGAGTGCATAATTAAGGAAAATTGTTCTGCACTTAGCCCATTCATGACTAACATGTGAGTCCGTATACTCACATTTTATTACTTTTAAGCACCTTTTCTGTATTTTACCAAAACAAATGACAATTTATTAACCAGGCTGGCACCACCTAGTGCGTCCACTCAATTCCATTTCTCTCCAGTGACTAGAACAGGAATCAGAAAACACTAGACGGTTCACAAAAACCCCGGAAGAGCAAGTTCGGGCACCAGCCAATCAGCGAAGAACCATACATTATTTGCCGTCAACGATTCCTGAGATCGAGGATTTAAAGCCGCAATAAAGAGAATGTTTGGTGAATTTTATCAAGGGGAAAGACGTTATTGCCCTTCTTCCTACGGGATTTGGGAAAAGCTTAATATACCAGTTAACCCTGTTCGTGGCACATTACATACATCACAACCAAATAGCAGCGACTGGTTAAATTTTAAAAAAAGTACCCGCCTACAGTCGAGCGAAAAAATCCTAATGCTGTGAGGTCAGACGGTTTCTACGAAGTGAAATTGTTTGATGAATTAGGCAAACAATGTATGCCTTTCTTTATTGTTGGCAGGGATCAAACTGGTCAAAAATAGAGACATTTTTTGTATAAAACTGGAACAAATCAATGGTTTTGGATGAATCTGGTGGGACAGGGGACACAGGGCTCAAAACCGAGACTGTCCCGGGTAAATAGGGACGTCCAATCACCCTAATCAATCAATCAACAGGATAAGTGTAGAACAATATCTTATTTCATCTATTAGTATCACCTGTTACATATAGGGACAATTTTTTTTTTGTGTAAGCTGCTCCAATCTTTATAACCTGGCTAACATTAACATGAAACATTCAGAAACAAGAATGGCTGAAAGCAATCAGGAAAAGAAGGCTCTGCACTGATGCAACGCATTTGAACTTGTTGTTTTCTGATCCAATGACCCAAGCCCTGGGCATTTCACATTCGAAAAAAGGAACACCAAAAGGAATGCAAAAAGGAAACATCAGGGAGACTCACCAGAACACAAAAAGATAAAGCAGAACAGGAAAACCTAAAATCTGCCATATCAGACCACTGTAAAAAGAACAACCACATTATGGATCAGGACGGGGCTCGGGTCATTGGATCGGAAAACAACAAGTTCAAGAGGCCATTGAAATCAGGAAACGAGGCACGAACAGCTTTAACTGTGATGATGGCGCGTTCCTCCTTTCACACACCTGGGACACCCTCCTCCAAAGAACATCAGGCGACGGGAGGCGTGGTCAGTGTGAGCGACCTGCCAGGTCCATCAGGTCTGACCACGCCTACAGGAAGTAACAACAGCTGATATA